CTTTTGAACAGTGGCTGCTTTGTTTCCCCGATGTATAACTGGTCGCAGTCCTCCTGGCACTTAACAGCATATACAACATTGCTCTGTTTGTGCTGGGGCACCGGATCACCAAAAGCTAAATAGAAAAAAATAAAAGCATAATAAAAGCGTAACATTCTTTGAAGGAATGCGTGTAGCCTGTCATCTTTGAAGCCAGAATTTTAAACTAAGATTGTCTTGTGTTGAGAAATGAGTTACAGCTCTTTTGATCAAACCTTGAAAATAAACCTAAGCAGTAATTCTTGTAATATTGTGAGCTCTTGCAAATGTTGCAAATGTCTTAAATCCTGATCCTCAACGACTACTATCTTGCATTTTTATTGTTTCCGTGCTCTTTGGCAAATATTTAAGTTTTGCAGAAGACTGGTAATCACTCATTATTCAAATCAGGTGTGTAGAAGTACAACATCTAAATACATGCAGGATAGTGGCCCTTGGTGATTTTCGATACCACCAATGTCCTTTCCGATTCTGATACCGTAAACCTCATGCTAGTATCGGCAATACTGATCTGTAACTTATAATTTGTGCAAATATGCCTAATGTGTCTGGTAAATAAAACACAGAAAATGTAGCGTATTTCAAATCACCACTTCATAAAAAATACAAAACCAAAAACAATTTTATTTATTGATTTTTTACTTTGAGGAAGCGTCCTCATTTACAATATAGCTGAGCAAATACAACAGAAAAAACACTGGACATAATCATACAAAACATGTGAAAATGGTGTTTCGAACAATAAAAAAAATGTGGTAAAATTATAAAACCAGTCAAATAAATTATTGTTTAATTATCAAGAACCAATTTATAAATGAAAACATGTCTTAATTTACATTACATGAACAAGAAAATACTGAATATGTTAATGACACAGACTGAGTGACGCAGCACGTTTACCCAGGTGGAAGACAAAGTAGTTCCCACTGAACCTATATGATTTAAATACGATTTCAGTAGTTTACTTTCTACTGTGTTTCTGTTACTGAAATATATTACCTGAAATTACTGAAACGTGTTCTAAATGACTGTCAGATACTACCACTCTAAATATTTTCTTAATACTACGTGTACAAGAGACTGGGTTATGGACATTTTGTTGTTGGTTTGCTTGATTAGCAGTATTAGGTGTATGACCATACATAACTCCATCTTTAATTATGATGACTCAAAAAGGTATTAAGTTGTAGTTGTACAATCAGCGCTTTCTCAGAGGTTCATTGAAATGAATTCAATAGTTCATGAGATATTTCGCTAATGTTTCCGACAACAAATACGCTCGCACACAAACGAGGACAAAACCATCATCGTCTTTGGCAGCAAGCGGTAAATTTTCCCACCAGCCTATTGTGCAGTTATGACTAAATCCATTCCACTTTTCTCCTCCTTGCTTTTCAGACACATCACAACTCGCTGTGGTAACCCTGACCTCAGCTTCCATCTTCTCCAGTCAGGCCGGTCCTCCCGCTCCGTGGGTGGAAACGTGTTCTTGTCCTCTGGGCTTTGCAGGCGAGTTCTGTGAGAGATGCTCCCCAGGATTCACCCGAGAAGACCCTGTCAGAGGACGCCTCTCAACGTGTGTACCGTGCAATTGCCACCATCATGGAACCTGTCATCCAGAAACAGGTAATTAGTGAGTTGGGGTTAGAAGACACAACTTGTGCATTGGTTAGAAATGACATTTGATCAGTTTGAAATGACTTGGAGTTGTATTTTTAACTAAAAGTGGCCACGTCAGAGTGAAGAATGAGAGTGACACTAAAGCATGAGCAGCCAAAAATACGCCCAATCAGGACATTTTATATTCTTAAATGCAGAACTATTTTTGAAAAAGTTAAAATGAGTCTGATCGGATTTTGATAATAGAGCTAATGACACTATAATGACTCCATATTGACACTTTATTAAAAACAAATATGTTTAGAAGACAGGTCTTAGCAGTCCTTAAAGGTAACTGAAGGTTAAGTCTGCTTTCTTTGTTTCTATTTTTAGCAATTCTTTTAAAATCCTGAAATCTAACTAGTAAAAAATGATTTTTAGAATGAAATAAGATACAATTAGTAAAAAAGGTAAATAAATAGAAAACAATGCAAATAAGAAATGTGATATTTATAAAGTTGGAACATGTGACACTTCTGTCATTGTGCATACTGTTTATTGAATTGAATTGAATTGAATTTTATTTTATTTTATTTTATTTTATTTTACAGGAACATTATTAGAGCTTCATAACATTACAGGTCAACTTTTTCTCTAAAGCTCTTGCAGTTTTTCTACCCTTGAACACATGCTTTTGTCTTCCTGTTTCAAACATTTTCCACCAACATCCAGACGTACAATAAACACAAACAACAGCTATTCTCTTTTCTATTCAGAAGATTTTCATTGATGGGGTTATACTATGACAGCAAATCAGCAATTTATAAACCCTGTCCTTTTTTAATTTAAATTTATTTTATTTTAACTGCAACAAATGGGTCCGCTGCTGTTCCTTTTCCATCTGGTATCCTGGTTTTATTCGTATGTCCAGGTGATTTTACTTGCACAACAAATTTGCCCAAAATCGTTTATTTTCAATCAAAAATATGTGATTAAAATAACATTTGACAACTTTAGTTTCACTTTACTGTAGTGCTCATCTTCATTAACTTTAAGTTTCAGATCTGGCCGTTGTTGCTACCTTTTATTTACAGTTTATGTAATAAATCTGAAAAGTGCCAAACTATAAAAATGTATAGTTCACCTGCAGAAACGTTTACATTTAAAGGTAAACTCAATCAATTTCACAATGTATGATGCTGTCAAGAGTTATAAAATGGACTCACTGATCTGTCAAAACAGCTGAATAATGAGTTTGGAAATTACAATTTATGATATAATTTAATATAACCCGAGTATTGGCATGAGCACTTCAAATGTGTCAAAGAAAGCTTGAATTAGAAAGATGGTGCCTGAAGGATCATGGGTAAGGATTTGTCTGCTAGCTTCAGTATACTGTTTAGCTACAAAAACACAAAAAGTGAAGTTAAAAGCATTTGCCCACATTTCACGCAATGCTTTCAAGACATGAGACACCTTCTGTTTGCATTGGTGTAAAGTGTTACGACATGTTGACACACAACTGTTTTGTCTATGAGCCATCATCAGGGGTAGTCACACAGCTGATTTGGCCAGTATGTGTAAATGTTCCACTTTAAACAACAGCAAGGCTGGAACTTTGCTGGTCACAAGGATTGCTCAGTTGTATGGGAAGATTCAGTGATGACAGTAACTACTCCTGCTTATTTTATAGGTACACAACTAAGAAATGTGGTTTTATTTTGTCAGTTCATTGTATTTTTAACCTACAGCAACAACACGTTTAACTTTAATGGTACATTTTCCATATTTCATTCTAGCTGCTTTATGTGAATAAGCAGATACAGGCATAGTTTGGAGCTTTGCTTTTTGGGACATAAAAGTCTGTTTTAAGAAAATTTACAGTGTTAACTTTTTGTGATTGGAAACTTGAATCCCCCCAACCCTCACATCACACCTTTTTCCATGGATTCTTTGAGGGGGGAAACTAAATCTGACTACTCTGTGTTACTTTGGGGATCATCAGAAGTTGTTAAAATAACATTTTCTGTCACCGTGCCTTTGAAAGAGAGCACTGGGTACATAGAAGAAAGTAGCCTGTTTTACTAATGCCTTTTCTGTATTTCTAAAACTGACAGTCAGTCATTGTGACTTCAAGGAAACGTAGCTCAGTCATCCCTCAGGAGCACTTGTAAGCCATCACTCAAAGTGAGAACATGGTGGCTGTACTGGTACAGCAACAATGTCATTCCACACAACTAATCTCTATAATAATGACACTAAAAATCTGGATTTAATGTCCCTGACATATTTATGGGAGTTATTATCAGCTGCTGCAGCTTCCTTTCGGATTCACACCCTGAATGCAATGTCCCGTAAATGACAGAGGTAAAACAACAGCTGGTGGCTGTGTATACAACCTCAATGCAGTTTTTTATGTGCGTGCATCTGGGAGTTTGTCCTATACACACTCTTTCTTTTTCTTTTTTTTTCTCTGAGACTTTTTCCACACTTTATTACTCTCACAGCTTTAAACAACTCTCTCCATCTCACTTGAGCAGACAACTGGCCCATGCGAGGTCCCACCCTCTAGCTTTTATCTTTCCTCAATCTCCCACTTCCTCGCGCAGCCATCTTCCCCGTTCTGCCCTTCTGCTTAAAGTCTTAGAGATCTGACCCAGTTAAGAGATGTGGCTGAGTCTGTTGTGTTTTTTTTTTTATTTTGTGTGTGTGGCCTTGTGTGTAGTTCTGTCTGCCTGTGGTTGTGTGTGTCTGAGGTCCGAAAGTGAATCTAGTATGACTGCCTGCCTGCTTCTACCCTAATTAGACTTGTTAACTGCATCTTGGCTAATGATGTCTAATTTGCTTGCAGATTTCCTGCAACTCTCATGTCTCTTCTCAATCTGAATGCCTCCCTTTTCTTTCTTACACACACACACACACACACACACACACACACACACACACACACACACGCTTGTTCTCTGCGCCTTTTCTTGTTCACCAGACTCCCTGCAGTCAGCCTTTTGCTGTCTTGTACTTCCTTTTTCCCCGCACCTGTTCTCCCTAGTCACCTTGACTTTGTATTTTGTGCCCTTGACTCCCCTCTGCGCTGAGCTCTCTCGAGTTCCCAAAGCCTTTATGCTTTCCTGTCTTTGAAAAGTGTATTTCTGTGGTATTGCCTTTTTTTTCTCAATCGCTTCTGCTCATTTTATGAAAGAGTCAGAGCAATTATGCTGGTGCCATTTCATGAGACATTGCAGCTACAATCTACATGTACAACTTGACCAAAACAGTTAGTTCATCCTTCAGCATTTGGCTATCATTTCAGTTAGCTGGCTAGCACAAGATTTAATTGTTATGATAATGGACAATGTCCTAATTTTATATAAATATATGTACAAGTCAAATGGATGGAATTACTGCTTTAGAACTAAACTAAAGCACTCAGTCATGTCTTCAACATGTTAGAAACATTCACCTTTGTTTCACTTGTGTTCTTTCCACTTACATACTTAAAAAACCAGATACAATATTGAGTAAAATGGTGGAAAGATATTCACTTTAGTAAACCATCCCCCATACTTTTCACAATTTATGGAGATGGGGATGCGGACAAACACAAGGAGATTTAATAAAAAAAGTTAAAGGTTTGCTCATGAAATCCTGTTGCTTGTTCCATTGCTGGAGTGTACGTCACAAGGCGTAACTTTTACTCAGATTAGACGCACTGTTCATCATTTGTCAACAGGCGGGCGGACCAACCTGCTGTTTCTTCTATCAGAATCCTAATTGCTGTATAATTACCTAACGACTTGTATCATCCTGCAGGGTGTGCCCACAGACAAAAACCGGGAAGGTGTTTATTCACCGGCTGCCGAGGGAAGCTGCAGCCAATGGTGCTTCATAATCATGATTTATTAACACTCTCTGGGTCGTGTCGGTGCTATTTGCTGTAGCGTATCACAACAGATTGGAAATGTTAATATTTGCAGTGGAACAAGCAAATTGCGATCTCCGCTGTGGTTCAGGGCTGTGGTGTGGATGAAGTCAAACATATGTACTTTAGATTAAAATAAAAAAAAACTGGCCCATTCAGTGTGTAGCCACAACTCTGGGCATGTGTTTAATTTTAGCTCAAACTGGACAGCATGTACAGCATGGTAATTGCATCTAACCCATCCAGAAAACAAGGCAGAGGCCATAATTCATAAATTCAAGGGTGGGTGTGGGATAACGGGAGAGCTGATTGTAATGTATAGATAGAACAGAGACACTCAATTTTCTCTACAGCCTATCCTGCAGGAGAGTGCTCATTAATCACTTAAACAAATGAAACACATGATGCTCTCGACACTCCGCTGGATATTGAGCGTTAGGTTGCTGTATTAGAGCTTTGTTAGGCACCATATTTAGACACACAAAAAAAAACCTTAAGATGTTATTGTTCTCTGAGACAGAGTATAAACGGCTGCCTTGTCCACCTGATATGAATTTAGGGATATTTTTCAAAGGGCACTTGTCAAAATTCATAGGAAGCCACATTCAGTTGCTGGAAAAGCAGCTCAAATTTGAACTGCAGTCTGTTGTGAAGTCAATGTCTCGTGGTTGGATTATTTTCTTGGAGGGAGTTTTAGGTTCAGAAACGTCCAAGTCATGCTTCAGTTTGATGATTGCTCGGGTTCGTTTCTGTAAAGTTGTCCTTGTCTAAACTAATTACATCAAGAAAAAGGTCAAAACCTTTTCAAATCAGCAGTCTTTTGACAGCGTGACTGGGAGCCAAGACAGGCAGACAGTGCTGTGCGCATTGTTTATCTCCCTGTTTATTTTTGTGTAGAATAAGTGCGCTGGTTGAGAGGAGATAAGTGAAGCGTGGCAAATAGGATCAGCAATAGAAATTACATGGAAAGATTCATTGCAGGCTGACTACATCTGTCGTTTTTTTTCTTCCTTCTCTTCCTTCGTGCTCACTTCCTTTTCTCCCTCACTGTTGCTGCTCATATCCCGTGCTGATACAGCCTGAGCATTTTAGGGCTTAGCCTGCAACA